GTTATTGGCAGATTCCAATGCACGAGTCTGATAAAGAGAAGACTGCGTTTGCTACGCCAGATGGGCTCTTTGAATTCAATGTAATGCCTTTCGGCCTGTGCAATGTCCCAGCCACATTCGAACGGATGATAGACACGGTACTGCGGGGATTAAAATGGAAGACCTGCCTTTGCTACCTGGACGACATTGTCATTTTTTCGTCGAACTTCTCACAGCACCTGGAACGGCTAGACGAAGTCCTCACGTGTTTAGCTAAGGCCGGTCTCCAGCTCAACACTAAGAAGTGTCGGTTTGCCAGTCACAGCATCAAGGTATTAAGTCACGTCGTCAGTAAACATGGCGTTGAGCCCGATCTCGACAAGGTTGCCGCGGTACTGCACTTTCCTACACCAACCACACAGAAAGACCTCCGCAGCTTCCTTGGCTTAGCGTCGTATTTCCGCCGCTTTGTACGTGACTTCGCTACTCTTGCGGCTCCTCTGCACAAACTTCTGACCACGAGCGCACTCTTTGTCTGGTCGGATGACTGCGAAGCCGCTTTTCACACCCTCAAGCGATGCCTCACATCACGGCAAGTGCTTCGCCATTTCGACCCTGCAGCACCTACTGTGCTACACACTGACGCAAGTGGACTTGGCATCGGTGCTGTCCTTCTTCAGCGGAACCACGCTTCCGAAGAACAAGTCGTGGCCTACGCGAGCCGTACTCTGTCACCTGCTGAGCGAAACTACAGCATCACTGAGCAAGAATGTCTCGCCATCGTGTGGTCCATACAAAAGTTTCGTCCTTACTTATACGGCCGGCATTTCACAATAGTGACTGACCATCATGCTCTGTGTTGGTTATCGTCTCTCAAAAATTTGTCGGGACGCCTTGGCCGTTGGGTACTGCGATTGCAAGAGTATGACTACAGCGTCACATATAGGTCGGGCCGAGAGCACCAAGATGCCGACGCTTTGTCCCGTTGCCCGCTCTCGCAAAGCGCCGAAGTGTCACCTTCCATCTGTTCGTCACCGCCCGCCAAAGTGACCAAATAGACGGCTGCTGCTTCGAAACAGTTAGTTACCTCGGCGGACCTTCTTTCGTCCACAGATCTCGCCTCGCTCCAACATGCCGATACCTACTGCCGCACAATCATCGATCGGCTCACTGGCTTATCGCGTGCTCCAAACAGCCGCCTAAGACGACAACTTGCCCGTTTCAAGCTTCAAGAGGGAACATTATGTCGGCAAATTTACCATCCTCTCGGTAACCAATGGGTTCCCGTCATTCCTCGCTCACTTCGTCTGGAAGTTCTACAAGCGTTTCATGACGATGCGACAGCTGGCCACTTAGGGTTCCACAAGACCTACGACCGCCTCAGGACTCGCTGCTTTTGGCCTGGCCTCTCCACTTCTGTCGCCAAGTACGTCGCTTCCTGCGCGTCATGCCAGCACCGAAAACGTACCACGTCTCTTCCCGCGGGGCCATTGCAACCACTGCCGTGCCCGTCCACTCTCTTTGAATTTGAGGGCATAGACTTATACAGACCTCTTCCGCTTACGCCAGCCGGTCAGCGTAGGATTGTTACTGCCGCAGACCACCTTACTCGCTACGCAGAGACGGCAGCTCTTTCATCTGGTGCTACCTCTGAAGTAGCAGATTTTTTTCCTCGCGCCATTATTTTACGACATGGCACACCGCGTGTGCTCCTTAGTGACCGTGGCAAGACATTTCTTTCACATGTCCTTGCTGAAGTATTACAAGCCTCTAACACCATCCACAAGACCACATCAGCGTATCACCCAGAAACTAATGGCCTGACTGAGCGTTTTCACCGAACTTTGTCCGACATGATCTCTATGTACGTGCAACCAGATCACAAAAACTGGGACACAATACTTCCTTTTGTCACGTTCGCATATAACACTGCCGTACAGCGTACAACGAAGTTCAGCCCTTTTTTTCTCGTGTATGGCCGTGTACCGACTTTTGTTCTGGACACCACCTTTTGTCCACATCTTCCAATCCATCTTCATCTCTCCCGGAAGAGTTCACCGCTCGCGTCGCCCGCTGACGTGAAATCGCCCGCGCCAACACTGCTACCATTCAGGACAAGAGAAAAATCGACCTTGATGCGAAGCGTCGAGTTGTTGTGTTCCGCCCAGGCGACGAAGTCCTTTTGTGGACACCTGTTCGTGTACCTGGGCTCTGTGAAAAATTCCTTCACCGGTATCTCGGTCTATACACCGTCCTGGAACGAACATCTGAAGTCAACTATCGCGTTGCTCCTGTCAACGCGGCTTCTGATCGTCGTCGCCGCCACACCGAGATCGCCCACGTCTCTCGACTGAAACGATATATTCGGCGTCCCAACCCTTTCTAACTTGCTGCCCTCTTTCGCGAAGGGGGGAAAATAGTGTGAGCGCTGACTATGTACTTCATCTCCATCTGTATGACCAAACCATTGTAGTCATCATCATCGTATGTCACGCGGGCTGGCTCTCTGGCTCGTGCGGCTGGATTAAAAAAGGATAACCTGGTTGCTGCCGTACCGGACGTGGTCTCATAATATATATATATTTTTTTGTCATGAACCAAAGGCGGAGGGGAGGGGGGGTCCCTATATGAGTGGGCTCATTACATGAGTAAATACAGTATATCAGTCCCCATGTAACTTCCTGTAAAGGTGACTTCACTGTAGTAAAAGATTGTTATGCCATTAGAACACATGTCTAGGAGAAATCTGCACTACTGTGATGCCCCACTTCAAGGTTGAATAAACATACCAGCCTCACATCAATTCATCATTTTTGACGTTTAAAACCTTGCTATACCGGCTTATATGATTTAAATAATCTTTAAAACAGGACATATTTTGCTGGTAAACTTGCATTTTACTGAAAGTCAAATCCTGATACTATTCAACATTGTTTCTACTTTTCTTGAGCCGAAAAAAAAAAAAAGGCAGGCATTGTTTGAATTTTGAGAAATTACTGTGTAGGTTCGCTAGGTCATGACAAATACGCCAATATTTATGTATATGTATTATATACTATGCAGATTCGATTAAAAATTATTCAGCCAAAATCAATATTCACTTCGAATCGGCTTTGAACCTAAAATTCATTATTCCCACGAGCCTGGTATTTTGCATTGTTTCAAGACCTATTCTCACCTCCTCAAAGACAAGGCTTAGCAAATGTGGCTGAATTGACACAGCTCACCTCAACAGTAACAACAAAACATTTCTGATGCTTTGTCCCCAGCATAAGACAACTCAAAGCGATAACATATTTTCCCATTTACCGTATTTACTCGTGTAATGAACCCACCTTTTTTTCCGAAAAGTTGATGCCAGTTTGGGGGGAGGGTACACAACATGGAAGAAAAAAAGTCACAGGAGTTATACGGGGGAAATTTCGCGTGACGGCTTTGCTTGTTTTGGCCTGACAAATGTGCGAGAAATACTTTTTTTGTAGCTAGAAGCTCTTTTTGTTTCCTCCCGTGGCGGAAGCGCACGAATAGACGCTGAAGTGTCGTCCAGCCGCTCGGTTCCCGTGCTACAGCGCATGCTGTTTGTAACCCGCCATGTAGCTTGCGTACCGGCCGAACACGCCCTGGGCAGCAGGTGTCCCATAAAAGTTGACAATGACCAATCCGAAAACTAAAACGCAGTGTCGGATGGTGGCACACAAACGTTGCGGTAGACGTTGCGGGTGCATGACGCGCGAGTCATCGCGGTTGCGCTTTGCATGGCCTCCGAGATGGCGGGCTCGCGGCGTGGTTTTCTGCCACGCGACCACCATTTCAAAGGTCACACACTTTGTTTTTGTGCCACTGTGCTTGCGTCGCACTATCAGCAAAGAGGTTTCTCCTGCATTCAACAGATGGCATTTTGCCGCAAAAGGCTCAACTTTCAATTTTTTATTAACGTCGTCCGCACACGCGCTGCTCGCAACTGTTTAGCATGGTTGTTAAACTATGTTTTGACTTTTATTGTGTCGCTATTTTGGGACATAACACTTCGATTTAACGTTGCTTCAATCGTCAATGGCACTGGCTATCATACCGATATAAAAGGAACAGATACATTTAAAAAAAGTTTTTTTTTTTTATTTTTTCAAGAACCAAGGTGGGGGATGGGTTCATTATGCGAGTCGGTTCGATAAACGAGTAAATACGGTATATACTGCTGTCAGGACAGTAAGAAAATGGCAAGCACAAGTTGAGATCGAAGCGGTGACATCTGCATGGATACTGTCAATGTGAACTTGTAACCAAAGCTACTGGCGGTTGATAATTCAAGTAAAAGGACACATCATAAATGCAATGCAGACTAAACATGTCACTTATTGCTGTGACTAAACAAACTTGAATGTCTCAGCATTGTCAACTTTTAGGCAATTAAATATCAAACCATAATTTTCTGCACAAGCATAAGACACAGCTTGCATGGTGTCCACTCCCAAAGCCGGCTAGGAGTGGTTGCAAGAGAACAGCCCAGGGGGGTTCTGGACTGGTATCTCATAACAGAACCCGGTGGTTTCCAATAATTGTTCTCTCAACCAGAAAAGTTGATATTTGGGCCGGTTGGTTTACGATACTTGAAGAAAAGAGGCAGGCACAGACACATAATTGGAGGCAGCTACTGTGACTTTATTAAAAGGAAGCATTGAGCAAGAAAACCTCGCAACACATCTTTCTTTGCCTGGATGCCGTGGTAGGCGATAAAGATGTGCTTCCTTGCTAAATGTTTCCCTTCAATAAAGTCACAGTTGCTAGTTCCGACGGTGTGTGCGAGTTTCCCTTTTGTCATGCTGGCTTTTCGTCAAGTAATCCTCTCTCTACCATGCAAAGATATTGTTCGCAAGTGCACGGCCCTTTCAGTCGACATGGTAGATGAAGAAATGCTTGGCAGCACAAACGACAGGAGGGGATAGGAGACAAGAACAAAGCGTTCCCGCAGCCCTACCCCTGCCACACGGTGTCCGAAGCTAACACACAGTCGACATCATTACCTGTCTCAACGTGCGTGCGACAAGTGCCTCCAGGACGGGGCCTCGGTCTCCGTGAAGCAGGTGGACCTCATCCAGAATAAGCAGCTTGACAATCTGGTTGAGTGCAATGTCTCCAGTGGACTTTCGTGTGACCACATCCCACTTCTCAGGTGTTGTCACCAGCATCTGAAGCAATACATATCAAGCGATGCACTTTAATGCAGAGTAAGAAGAGATGTGCCAACTTTTCAAATGAATGTAAGTCTCAGGAAAGTTACTGAAAAAATACAACAAGGTTGTATTCCACAATATATATTTGTCATAATTCTGCTTGCTAGCACTTCAGTTCTTTTGAAAAGTTTGTAATGCTTTGATATTTTTACTTCATGAGGAAGATCGTGCTTCGCAATGAGCAGCAAAAGTTTTGCTACTTGAGTTTGTGGTGACCTAACTAAAGGGACACACACACAAAAGAACAATTTTTTAAGTATTGGTAAACAACATTTTTTTACAATGCAAAAAACGCCATTGTAGCCCTGTTAGATAGAAAATAGATGAAAGGAATATAGAGGTGGAACTGTTGCCTAGGCATGACGATAGTTATAGCGCGAGAACAAAACAACAACACAGAGTCTCTGTGTCGTCGTTTTGTTCTCGCGCTATAACTATCGTCATGCCATACCAACTAGCCCAAGCTGCCACACTTCTATGTTGCCTAGGGCTTCAAGCATTGACTTATAAATTTTTATGCCATCATCTAGGGCCTGCAAAACTCTTTACTGGTAACAGTCAGTTATGTCCTGTTCGGAGGGAGTCACTGACTTAACATAGCAAGACTGAAAGCGAAACTGACGAAACTAAAATGGGAGCATGCTTGTGTTCTTGCAGCCCTATCCCTGCCACACGGTGTCCGAAGTGAATGGGTATTGCCCCTAGCCCTAAGCCTCTCCACGACAGGACAGCACCATGATGTCCCCTGAAGCGAGCGAGCTGCTAAAAATTTCTGGTATCAGCTTGCACCCACTGCACCATTAGCCTTCGCAAACCTCAGGACTTGGCCGAAATAGCAGAGCCACAATGAGGACTATGCAATACGCTCGCTGTTGAACTGCATGAGCCTGGATGCCTGCCCACTTCTCGAGAGCATCTCACTTATCCCATAATTTACTTCATACTAAGCGGTTGCCAAGTATTTTACTTACCACTTTACTTTGCGCACCCATGAGATATGCTCTACAAGTCATCGTGCTTTGGTAGATGTGTTCGGCTATGTGACAAAGTTGCTGATGAGGTACAGTGGGCATGTCACGAATTTCATCTCAGGAGCACTTATGAAGGATGGATTTGAGAGAAATGGGAGATGGGCGTGGCAAGACAAACACACTTTATACCCTGAACGGACAAAACCAATACACAGAATTTGTGTTAAAGCCCTCATTAACTCAATAACACTCGATAACTCAATAACAATCAATAACTAAAAAATAATCAATAACTCAATCCCGGGCCTCTCCCGCTGACATCCTTCTGAACCGGACAGCTATGCTGCTCCTGTCGCTGCAGCGGCAGTGGTTTCCCACGTCGTTGCAGCTCGGAGCCACAGCACACAGTGCCAGCTAATCCTATATTTCAGTTTGTCCTATATTGCAGTATGCCATAGACCTTCTCGCTCCTGTTATAACGCACATTTTTAACGCATCCTTGTCGACTGGAGTTTTCCCTCGCAATATGCAAGTAGCCCGAGTAATAGTTTTACATAAAAGGGGTGATAAAAACAATATTGGCAACTATAGACCAGTTTCTATTCTTCCTATATTATCGAAGGGCCTCGAAAAAATTGTCAACGTTCGTATTGATAATTTTTCGCAGAAACATAACTTGCTAACCGAGTGTCAGCACGGTTTTCGAAAAAGACGGTCTACGGAAAGTGCATTAAATATACAAAAGAATCTTATTCTTCAGAACATTGAAAAAAAGCTTCTAACATTAGGGTTATACTTAGACTTTAGCAAAACATTTGATAGAGTCAACCACCAACTGTTGCTTACGAAACTAGAAAGATATGGCTTCCGAGGAATAACACTTGAACTTATCTGATCTTATTTAAAAAGTCGACATCAATTTGTTGAAATTAATGAAAATAGATCACAAACGAAACCTCTAAGAGCGGAGCGGGTGTGCCTCAAGATAGCATCCTTGGCCCGATATTTTTTATTTATTACATTAATGACATCGTAGAAGTTAGTGATATGTGTAAGCTTGTCGCTTATGTAGGTGACTGCTCAATTTTCTTTACAGGAAAATACTTAGAAGAAATAATGCCTATAGCTAGTACTGTCTGCAGCAAAATTCAACGCTGGTCAAAGGCAAACTGCTTGATTCTTAATGAAGCCAAAACAAAATGTGTCATTTTTCGTGCCAAAGAAAGTTCTACTACATTACGAGATAACATTGTTCTGGGTCCACATAAGATTACCATTACGTCCTCTATGAAAACACTCGGAGTTCTATTCACCGAGCATATGTCCTGGAATGCTCATGTTGACAATGTATGTGCGAAAGTTCGAAAAGTTATTGATATTTTAAATCACTATCGAAATACATTGCCCTATAAAATTAAGCGCCTCATTTATCATGCTCTCTTTCACTCATACCTCACTTATTGCTCAACCATATGGGGAAACACCACCGCACAAAATATTCAGATTATGGAAACACTTCAAAAGAAGGCAGTTCGAGCTATTGCGAACGTTTCTTTCTCCAAATATACGGAAGAGCTTTTTCGGCAAATAAAATAATAAAAGCTGGTGATATTTGGAAACTGAAAACTCTACAATGCTACAAGAGTGCTATGCTAGGAAAGCTAGATTCATTTTTAACCCTCGCTGATCTACAAGAAAACAAAAGTACATAGGTATTCATTTCGCCGTCAGGCCTCATGGCAAATTCCTTTTTCTCGTACAAATTATGGACAACAGTGCCTTTGTCATACACTGCCTTCCCTACTTAACCATTTCAACAGACAAAGTGTTGATGTGTTACCACTAAACAAAACTAAAATGTTGGACCTGTTCCTGTAACGGCTCATTAACATAGGATTAGAAAAAAAATCCCACCGGTTGTTGATAGCATGCTGATGTTATAGTAAATTTCTATGTTATAAAAAAAAAGTGTTTCTCGGTTGTACTTTGTAGTTGTTGTATAGCTGTTTTTAATTTATACATTTCTCTTCCTTCATCGCAATGTTTATTTTATATTCAGTTGAAATGTTATTATTGCTTTAATGCTTTATACTTTGTAACATGCTTTCTTCTATTGTTTTGAAACAAACTTCACCACTGACTGCCTGGGGGACCGAAGCTTTGTCAAGCCGAAGAACTATCCGCTTTTTCTCCAGTTCTCCCTTTTTCACCTTTGTATGAAATGGTGAAAATAAAAGATTTTTGATTGATTGAGTCTCTTCTGCGCGTGGCGGTTGCCGCGAACGGTTGTCTCTAGCGTGGGTCCTCGGTGCGTGGCACCGCGGACTGCGACGCCAGGGGCCCGTGTGGCAAGTCAAGCGTTGGCGACGGCGCCTTGGTCGTGTTTAGTGTGTTTGTCGTGTTATTGTGTTTGTCATGTTTTGGAGTGTATGGAAATTGTGTGTAAGGATGTCTTAGTGGGTTGATCATGATTGATGCATCATTCGGCGGACGATATCGTCGTTATAAATTAGTTAAATAAATGTGTTTGTTGTTTGCCCTCACCACGTCTAGTGGTCCGTTCTAGTGTGTCCGTCATGATTGATGTATCATTCGGCGGACGATATCGTCGTTATAAATTAGTTAAATAAATGTGTTTGTTGTTTGCCCTCACCACGTCTAGTGGTCCGTTCTAGTGTGTCCGTCCACGTCTAGTGTGTCTGGCACCATGATGATGAAAACCAGCAAGCGAAGCAGCAGTAGAGAACGTCTTGTTTATTAGACACTGGGTTAAAGAACTAAAACAAAATAGAATGCGCGCACGCTATCCGGGCATGCTCTAGTCCTCCTTTTCTTCTTCGCCGCTCTTCCGAATTAACATTTAGCAGCATGCAAGGCATGCTGGCGAGATTGGCATTGCTTGCACGGTTTCTAGTTCGCAATATTTTTATCAACACTTATGTGACGCGAAGATAGTACTGCGGTTGAGTTTCGGTGTTGCACTCTTTTGCTTATTTAAAATTATTCTAAACTTTGTTGAGTATTTTTGCTATCAGGCCAACGACAAGAGCTCCTGAGGAACATAAAAGCCCCATCACTTTGACAAGGTCGAAAAATTGCCGGTGTTCGCCTTTAAGGATTTTGCAACACTTTACAGCATACACTTTGGAAGCATGCTTGTTTTTCTGTGAAGTGAGCCGGCACTGCTAGCTAAAACAATATATATTATCAAGCCAAAGGGTAATCGTCAACTCGGAGTGGTTCCTGAATGTTCAGGCAATTATACAGGGAATCATGTGGAATCAAAATTTGGCTCCAAACCAACTAAACGTTGGCTAAAAAAGACATGCAATCATTGCTATGTGAACAGCAGACGATGTAGTGGCACCTCGATTCCGTCACTTCCGTCGCTTTGGCATAAATGTCAGCACCCACACACAATGTTGCCAATAATTGTTGGAAGCCAGTTGAGAGAGTCTGGGCAAACTATACAATTCATTTGTGAAAAATCTGCATATCTCTCCTGCCTGTAATTGGGGATGAATGATGAAGTCATGCAAATGAACGTGCCCAGCAAATTTTATTGAGATCTACTGACTTCAAAAAATCGCCGGAGTTGGCCTTTAAACATTCAAGTTCACCCTTCAAAGTTCAAAAAAGTTCAAACAATCAAGTTCACCCTTCAAAAATTCAAGTTCAAACAATCAAGTTCACCCTTCAAAAAATACTGTTATACCATTTTTTCCAGCCACTTTTCGGTAAAAAACACAATACTTTTGTAAACACTATACTACATAGTTGAAAAATTACGCCATCTCTCGCTAAAAGGAACCATGTGCAGATACGAAGCAGCGGGGAGATGGTGAACGGCACCCACAGAAACTCGTCTGCATCACCTTAAGGTGCACCAACAGTCCGACCTCTACCTAACCATCACTGCCAGTGACCATCACTTAATACCGGCGAGTGTTGCCATGAGCGCTTCTGGTGACCATGACTATTCGCGGCGAGATCGGCTCTAGTTGACAGCACCATCATCGCGGAGGTGCAGATAGGTAGTCAGCGGCGCGTATACAAATACATGTAGATTGTCTATGCTGCTTTGAACATATACACTGCTCTGAAGCCCTTTTTTTTGAAAGCCAGGACACTGAGCATGCTTTTTCGTTGTAAAGCGGCAAGCCACTACTACACCATCGACTACTACTATGTCCTTTGAAGCGGCCGTGGTGCGCAGTTTCACAGCTCGTAATAGATGAATGAATTAAAGTTTATTTCATAATCTATTTACAGATAAACACTTGTCAGACCTATAACCAACGGCTAGTTGGTTGGTTTTGCACTCACAAATCGCTGCATGCGTAGAAAGTGAGCCATAGCGCAGCCTGTGCAAGCGGCGTAAAGAAAAAGTTGTGTTAGTTGAGTTTTGCGGCTCGGCTATGTCACGACTACAATTTAATGTGTGTGTTCTCATGTTCATAGCATTCAAACTTCATGTAGTTTTGAACAGGCCGCGCACTCTCAAAGTACTGTATGTGTTTCACTCGGCAACCAAACAGGCTCGCCTAATATCGTATTTACTCGCGTAATGAGCCCACTTGCATAATGAGCCCACCCCTACCTTGGCTTTCAAAAAAGAAAAAAAAAAGACTTTTCTGTAATGTATCTGTTCATTTTGTTTTGGTATGGTAGCCAGTGCCATTAATGATTTAAACAATGTTAGATCAGGCCAATATATCACGAAATAATTACGCAATAAAAGTCAAAACATAGTTTTTCAACAATGCTAAACAGTTGCGAACAGCGTGAGCGCGGACGACATAAATGAAAATTCGAAAGTCGTGCTTTTTACGGCAAAGCGCCATTTCTTGAATGTGGGAGAAAACACGCCGCGTACTCGCCATCTCGAAGACCATGCAAAGCACAACCGCACCTGCAACGTTTGTGTGCCGCCATCCGACACTGCGTTTCATTGCAATAAGAATTATATGGACGCTCTCGACCCGGTTTCGCCACCGACGTCGACGTCACTCACTGTATATGCATCTATATAGTATATGAAAACTCAAAAAAAAAAAAAAAGCAGCCCGCGGTCGACACCCAGCTTGTTCTGATGCGACGACGTGGGCTTATCTGCCACGCATACTTTGCCCCGCGAATTGGGATAGAGGTATATGTTTGTGCCGCGCGCTTCTCCTTTGGTGGGAAAAATTACGCACATTCGGCTTTGATCGGGGCGATTTAGTTGCACACGTTCTGTCGCCCACAGAACCCATTTTGAGAACCCCATGTGCACGCGCCAGAGCATCCAAGAGACGCGTCGCATGCAGGGGAATGACTCCATGTTTACAGTCACTAGCTCACGGCAAACGCGCACACGTTGGTGACCGCACGCCGCAGCGCCGACATGAAAACCGCAGTGACTGGAGGAATACACTTCGCACATAAAAAACCCCTAAAGGTCAACCTCGCAACGCTTGCCACTCGGTAGCAAGCGTATAGGCACTAGAGCACACAGCCTAGCAGAAGCAGCACGCTCAATGCACGGCAGCACATTTTTGCAGTGTCACGCATATTTACAACAGGTTAGTGAAGATTATGGAAGCATTATGGGAGCCTTCATCACCAGGAAAGCACAAAGTGAAAAAAAAAACAAGCTTAGGCGAGTTTTAATTTTTTGGTATTTCTGCTGCTGCTCGGAAAATCATGTAGTCAATATGGCCTTCTTTTCCCACTGAAGCTGAGGTTGGCATCAAACTAGCTTTCGAGGCTGTTTTGGAGCAGTTCGGCACAATTTTCGCAATCTTTTATGCTTTTAGAGCAGCTTCGTGCAGAAAACAGAAATGTATAAAAAAATGGGCAATATACGCAGCTGTCTCACCCCTGGATGTGTCTGTCTTGTCCTTCATCCCCAGTGTTCGTCTTTTTAAGCAGTGAACAAAAACGAAAGAATGAAAATAATCTTGCAGATATAAACTCACGTGTGTCTTCATTATTTCAGCCTTGCTTAGCTGCATGTCGCCAGTCAATTCTCGAACCACCACCCCCAACGTCTCCAGCCGCTTGCTGAAGTTGCGAACCATCTCGGCTGCAAGAGCCTTCATTGGAGCCACATATACAATCTGTGCGGAAGAAATTGAGCAACACACATTGACAGAAGCATCAAGCTAATGATTGTCATACTAAATTTTTCATTTTCAGTGTTTGCTCTCCAAGCAAGGACCACACCATTCCTAGCTAGTGCTTTTTTTTTATTATTGCCTCTAGACACCACAGCCAAACCAGCCTGGCCGGCTGCTGAGTAAAAACCAAGAGACATCTAAAATAAGTGACTGTCTATGTTTTAGTCAACCACCGACCCACTTCACCTTATGCGTGTGCAGGCTGCACTTGCCATACTACACAGGAACCAACACCAGTGCAATCATTGTTGGAAAGAGTGTTGCCATTCTGGGCATAGCAGTTGCCCTTTTCAAAGCATTCAGGTTTGTAGGGTGTCCGTCCTATGTACGGCTGTTGCAGAAGCATACAGCTAATGCTCCAGCCGCACGAAGTCGTACCGTACGCTATTAACGTCCCCTATCCGTAGCTTGTCTCGTTGCAGCTACACTGGTTCGGGCGAATGAGCCAACGGGCTAGGTCAACAACACACTTTATTGCTATAACGCCTAAATGACGTGAGGAGATACTACATAAACCAAGGGTAGACGCTTACTCCTTGGTCGTTGTCGTCCTTGGCTTTCAGGGGATTGCGGGTTCGACCTCCTTCTTCCTATGATGATTCTTGGGATTTAACGTCCCAAAACCACCATATGATTATGAGGGACGCCGTAGTGGAGGGCTCCGGAAATTTCCACCATCTGGGGTTCTTTAACGTGCACCCAAATCTCAGCACACGGGCCTACAACATTTCCGCCTCCATCGGAAATGCAACCGCCGCAGCCGGAAATCGAACCCGCGACCTGCGGGTCAGCAGCCGAGTACCTTAGCCACTAAACCACCGCGCCGGGGCTCCTTCTTCCTAGGCCGGTATCAGAGAGAGCGTGCTGTTGTGAGCACGCCAGTTTCCTTTACAGTCTTGGTTTCCCTTTCCTGACAAGTATACGTTCCTTCGCTGAGGGAGGGGAAACCCGTTCCGTACGCCGGCAAAGGAGGATCGCGAGTGTCGGCCACGAGGCTGTTCCATCCCTTCGCAAGAGGCTTTATTGGCTCTTCAAGGGACAGTCATGTCCCTGCATATAGGCTGTCATGCTGCCGTAAAAGAGAAAGGGAGGCTGGGCGCACGTGCTCCCCACATCTTCCACCCCTTAAAAAGGCCCCCAAATGAGAGAGACTGAGACATGAGAATATTTTGTTATTCATTATCGAGGAAGGCTAGGATGGTGGGTACCAATCCGTGCCCTCCTGCGGTTTGCCCTCTACCGTGGTGCCGCCTGTGCCCCCCCCCCCCCCCCCTTCGTCGCTGCTGCAAATAAAGTAGCCACCACTGATGCTACCATGCCCGCTTGCATCATAACCAGTCATCGCCCCCGCTGTCACCTCCGCCGCCGTTACTGCCACCGTGGATTTGGTGCAGGTAGAACTTTGGTCCGGACCGCGCCCCGTACTCCCGCCACTCAAGGTCATTGGTGGCATGGCAACTAGGGGTAGCCAGTCGGTGACGGGTCTTGTTCAGCACTGACCCCAGACCACCCTATTCAGCATAAGCTGTGCTGCAGCATCGTGTCACAGCTCCCCCAGTCGGGCAGGCTCGAGAGTCATCTTCTGCGTGCCGCGCCATGGCCTCGAGGTAGCAGAGGTCGTAAGGGTGCCGGACAACCACAGGGTGGCTAGGTAGGCTCATCGTCGTGACAGCGGCTTTGAGGCAGCTGGTTCTCTCGGCTAGGCTGGTGGTTGGTCGCTTTGCCACCTCTTGCTTAAAGGCCTGGTGATGAGGGTGATGGGGTAAGTTGGAAGTGGCGCTGCTGGATTGGGTGAGGCTGCGATGCCGACATGGATAGTGTTAGGGGTGATCCGATGGGAGGAGAGCTTTCCCCTCCTAGCAGTTCTGGCAGCACCTCTTTCTTTTCAACTTTCCATCTGCTCGGTGAAAGTCAACACAGAAAAAAGAACAGGTTAACAATCGTGCATGTGTTGTATGTGAACCCTTGCACCTCGTGTCGAACATATCAAACGCCTGTTACGCAGACATTAACGCGGTTCTGGGCTTCTCACTCGATGTCGAGCGATCTCACCCGCCGCTTGTGGCCTGGAAGGGGACTGGCTGTAGTCCCCGTGCTCCTCCCGTGACACAAAGCGTTTCAAGTCGCATACGTGCACCGGTCCGCCGCTTGGTTTGCCTTTTATGTTCGCGAGCCGATAAATGAGCGAGGAAACTTTCTCTCGCACTCAGTACGACACAGACCATTTCGGTTTCAGCGAAGCAGCAAACTCTTTGCTAGCATGGCTCAGAACATGATGGCGCCGCAGCACCAAGTCGCCCACTTTGTAGTGTACGTTCTAATGCGTGCGGTCGTACTGCGCCTTCTGCTCTGCCCTAGCAGTGCTGAGATTATGCCAAGCTTTATGTAAAGCTTCCAGTAGTTTCTCGCACAGCTGTGTTGGGCAAGGAGGGTCTCCTTCGGATTCGGCAGTTCTTTCCCCAGGTTCAGAGAAGACGCATACCCAGTCGATCGGTTCACGGTCGATCGCAATGCAAAACCGATCTTTTAAAGGTAGGTATCCAGTCCCTATGTCTTTCAGAGAACGCGACAAGCATGTGCTTGATGTTGCGATTGACTCGGTTCGTGGGGTTCGGCTGGGCATGATAGGTGGTTGTTTTCTTGTGCTTAATTCCCAACGCGGCCCACGTGTCAACAAACACCTTCGCAGTGAAATAAGACATGCTGTCTGTTATCAAAGAGAACTTGTTGCTGGGCTAGTTGGTAGAGCATTTCGAAAAGTTAATTCGAGCGCGAAAACTTGACACGATCACTCACACACGCACACACCCATGCATCAAACACAGAGCGCTCTGTTGAGCGCTGTGTGTTTGATGCATGGGTGTGTGCGTGTGTGAGTGATCATGTCAAGTTTTGCGCTCAAATTAAGTTTTCGAAATGTCTGTAATCAACTCCTCAGGAAACCCGAAACTGGTGAAAACATCCATCAACTTCTCTAAGATCAATCAAGCCTTCAACTTCCTAAGGGAGAAAAGTTCCACCCATTTAGTGAAGTGATACGTGATCACCAGCAAGAACTTGTTTCTGCTAGGAGTTGTGGGGTACGGGCCCATTACGTCACATGCCACGATTCGCCAGGGAGTCTGACTGTTAACCGCTGTATGAGGCTGGGCGGACGTCCGCCTCCTGGCTTGATGCTTTGGAACACACGACATGAACGGGTGTAGCGAATTACATCCCGCTTCATGCTTGGCCAGGTAGCGAAGCGACACAACATAGCGCAAGTATTAGGGCTGCTCGCATGCCCAGCAATGCACGAGTCACAAAAGTAGCGAAACAGTGCTCCTATCAACGTGCGCGGTAGCACGACCTTGAATGACTCACTTGTGTCATCATCGGATGAGATGTACCTCAGCAGGACGCCGTCAGTATCCAGCAGATATGAATCCAGTGCGCTCACAGCACTAACAGCTGTTGTGAAGTGCTCCGCACCGACAGCAATACCAGCTGCCTCCATGTGCACGGTGGCCTCACTACCATGCGGCTCCCAGAGCCTGTCGAACACCTTTCGACAAAATGGATCTTTCTGCTGAGCTTCCAACAGTTCCTTTCTGCTGAACATGATCCCTGCGTTAAAGACAGCCCCTACGTGGTTCACGCTTTTGCCTTGAACTAACATTTGCTTCGCTGTTACCATTAGGACGAGTGTCTCGCTCTCAGTTCGTTCCGAGTTAATCGCATGACTTGCTTTGTGTAGGACTGGAACACACAATAGTGCATCGGATGTGGCATTGTGCTTACCCTTGCGGTAGCAAATGATGAAGTCTTAACGCTTTAGCAGCAATGCCCAAAGCCGCCAGGGTGGCCACTTAAATGGTTCAAGCGCCTCAGTCACGCGAGCGCCATGTGGTCAGTCTCAATCACAAATGCAACTCCGTCGACGTAAAAGTCAAACTTCCGGAGAGCATAAACTATCGCCAGACACTCTTTCTCGGTTACGGAGTAGTTCCTCTTCCCTGGCGCCAACTAACGGCTCGCAAACGCAATCGGTCAGAGGGAACCTTTACGTTCCTGAAAGAGAATTGCTCCCAGGCCCAAGTCGCTTGCGTCTGTGTGAATCACAAACTCTTTGTTCAAATCGGGTAGCTGCAGCTGAGCCGTGTTGGCCAGCGACTTCGTGAGGCGACGCATGTAGCTAATGTTCTAGCCGCACACAGGTGTACCGTGCACAATTAACATCGCCTATCAGTAGCTTGTCTCATTGCAGCTACACGAGTTCGGGCGAATAATGCAACAGGCTAGGTCAACTACACATTTTATCGCGATACTTTAGCAATAACCCGTGAATGTTGCGAGGAGATACTATGGAAAACAAGGATAGACGCTTACTTCTTAATCGTTGTCGTCCTCGGCTCACAGGGGGTGGCAAGTTGTGGGGATCTGAGGCTCCCCCGCGACCATTTCGCGGGCATTGCGCCACATGGCCACACCCTTTCGCATTTCTGCTCTGGTAACGGCGCGTGGCGATAGATGGCGCCAAGTGCAGGCGCGGCACGTGTTACGTGCGCGCCGAGGGAGCTTGCTCTTCTCCTTGGTCGGCGCCGGGTAAGCGCGTGTCTTCTTCGTCCGCGTCCCCTTTGCGAATCGCCGGACTGTAGCCTGCCTGGGGTGGCCTTTGGCACCTCGGCAGGCGTGTTTACTTGAGTGCTAGCTTCGGTACCGTACGCTAAGCCCACAGCGGTGCCTAGTGCTTGAAGTGGTCGTACCACACCGAGCCGCACTTGCCGTAGGCCTACGCATACGAGGTTTGCCCTAACACTTGCGACCAGGCCCAGTGGCCATCGTGAGAATGCACAGCATAGCCGCGAGGGACCTTTTCCTGACCGGCGTGTCAAAGCTCGTCATCGCCTGCTGCGACGTGCTCGCGGTTGCCCCTTATTATGAACGTCCGCGTGTGGGAGCCTTTGCTCTCCACGTCCCGGGAGCCGACATTGTACTGTTGTTCGGGGTGCAGCCAAAGGCAATAAGGTGTTGTGTATTTCTGTATTGTAACACTGTCTGTTTTGCCGCGCAGTGTTAAACGCCTTATTAGTTGAGCGCGCGCGCGGACCGGTGCGCTACACACACGCGAGTAGGTGACGGAGTCGCAGCCCTGTGGCTCGCTAAGCGTGAACTTGCGGTGATCATCCGCTACGGTGAGTAGCGGGGGTCACCATAGGGTTCAACCTCCTTCTTCCTAAGCCGGTGTCAGAGAGAGTGTCCGAATGTCGGCACGCTGGTTTTCTTTACTGTACCGGTATCCTTTTCCTGACAAGTACAGTCTCTTTCGCTGACGGAGGGGAAACCCATTCCGTGCGTCGGGAAAGGGGTATCGCGAGTGTTGGCCGCGGGGGTGTTCCATCCCATCGCAAGAGGCTTGATTGACTCTCGAAGGGACAGTCATGCCCCTGCAAATAGGCTGCCACACTGCCGTAAAAGGGAAAGAGAAGCTGGGCACACGTGCTCCCTCACAGGTTTCACCGATGAATCATGTTGAATTGCATCACTGCAGGAAAGTTAGCAGCAGCCCACCTACATTTACTGAAAAGTCAGCCCTTTCCGGCCCGAGAAAAATATACGCGAAAAAATACCAACTTGCTCGAAAATTATTACTATTTGCTTTATCATAATGAACTTTCCAAAAAATAAATTGGAAAAAAAATCAAACTATTTGGGTGATAGATCAGACATATGTGCGGGCTTGGCTTTTGTTTCCGTGATCGGCTGCGGCGAGGAGCACACAAGGAATGGCTAACAGAAGACAAAAAAAAACATCTTCAGCATTAGCCATGAAATATTTGAGAGAATTGTTTGCCACTTAGGGAAACATTGTGTCGCTTGCACACAAAGTGCGAACTGGAAGCCTGCAGTGTTGTGTCAAGCTGTGTAATGATGACCAGTAGTCATGTGACTAAAATTGCTTGTCTGTGCCACCCAAATGTTTTTCACTTCACGAGGTTTCTTTGTGGAACATTCTTTTCACAACCTGTTTCCTGCTCTGGTGATGTGCAGAATTCTTAAGTCATCTCATGCAGTAGCTGATCACGATCATACCTGAGGCTGCCTGATTTTTTGCAGGCTTCCTTGCAAACTTTTTTGATATCTGGACTTGAGGCACAGAGTCGTTTTGACAGCAGTGCTTTACGAAATCGTTGAAAAAAAAAAACAGTGCCCTCACTTTGCCTGGCAGGAGTTGGCAAGAGATGGCCACCTGACCAAGTTTGCTTGGATGTAGACTGCTGAACGATTCCTCCTTCTCACTACAGTTTTCATCAGTCACTTGGCTTAAACCACAAATTTGAATCTGTCGATTTGTCTACATTGTAGCTACTAATTCTGACACAAGAAATAAAGATTCTAACCTTTTTTTCTGTGTAATTGTACTTCTCTGGCATAAAGATTCTTTTATGTTAAAAAAAAGTACATTCAGCCCCCACAATTGTGGTTTCCAAAGTTCACTAACTTTAGCAATTTTAAGCTGCACTGTGGTTCCCAATCCCCAATTAATTGATCTATAGGGTTTAACGTCCCAAAACCACCATATGACTATCAAATACGCCAAAGTGGAGGGCTCCGGAAATTTGGACCCCCTGGGGTTCTTCAACGTGCGCCCAAATCTGAGCACACGGGCCTACAGAATTTTCAACCCCATTGAAAATGCAGCCACAGCAGCCAAGATTCCATACCGCAACCTGCAAGCCCAGTAGCCGAGTACCTTAGCCACTAGACCACGGCGGCGGGGCGTGGTTCCCAACCCCTACAAAACCATCAGCAAAACTTTAAATACATGCAATTCACAATAAAAAAACATACTTTCATAAGTAATGCGGGTTGGTGCACAAATTCATGAAATTAATATTTTTCTACGTAAAAAGGGGCCGCGATTCACGCAATGCCCCTTTACCTGGAATATTTTACACATGAAAGAACACCAACAAACTCATACCAATGAAGTGCCAATAAGATTCCAAGAAGTCTATTCGCAGTAAAAAAGCAAAGGCACAACAGAGCATGAACGCTTCAACCTGCAGGGTTGCTCCGCATTCATTTCAGGAGGACAAAAACCCAGCCCGCACAACTGTGCGTGTAACTTTTTCACACGTGAATACGTGCGAAAAGTGTGTGCGGCAAGAATGATTCATTTTTTGGGCGATACATGTTTCCCAAGTCTGACTGGTACTTTCATATACATACGCTATCAAAAAAAAATGTATAACATGCAAGATTGTTGACTTAGGTGAGGTAGAAGCCATCATTGACGCACGTGCCCCTGACACATTCCAGGCCGTAAAGGGTTAACCCTTTACGGCCTGGAAAGCATGGCTTCTGGCGACATTTTCTCGAGGCACAAGCCCTGGGACAGTTGGGTGAGTCAATTTTGCACTACTGCAACAGTGAAAAAAAAGGATAATGTGTCGTATTCTTATCAGCCAGCGTCATCACGATGCGCGGTTCTCAAATCTGCTGTCCAGCTTAGCGATGCTATGTGCGCACATGAGGGAAGGGCATACTGGAGGGGCATAGACAAAGGGTCAGGCTGCCATGGGTGATTGTTCGGGCTCAGCTGAGCCTAGGCGGCCAGGAATACTCTCCCCTTGACTCACTTCCAAGAGCGGCGCAGCAAGACTGGACGCTCTTAAAGAAGTCTTCAGAAAAACTTTCGCCCAGCGCCGCCCCTCACAGAAATGCAGCGTACAAGCCAACACACTGCTTACCGGGCTCAGCCCCACGCAATTTGCCGGGTGCCAGCAGTTACATGAACAGTCATGTATTTCCGCTTTGTTCCCCCCTCACTGCGACCACGGACCCTCCTGACTCCAGGTCATGCAGTTGAACCCCCCCCCTAATTTTAGCCATTTGAGCATCCAAAGAGAACCGCGCGGTGCCCGTGACACACCACGTGAAGATGGAGGAGGCTTTGTGACTCCAAAAGCCGCGGATCTAACTGAGCTAGATTACATGGGCACACAACAACCCAAACTGTGCCGACACTTCTGAATCACGAATAGATTTAGATCACTCCCGAACCAGCATCGCGATCCAAAAAACCCTTATCACGGACTCCTATTTGGCTATATTACAGGGGCTCGCAAGTTCCCTGGCCTTAGCGGTATGTACTTTGAAACCTCTCACAAGGAATGTCATCCCATTCTGAGGCCTCCGAGATGTTGGATTATAGGTGCTTACCAAATCACCAAGCCAATTCAGTATATTTCCTATACCAGCTGGTAGCCCAAGCAAGCAGGATGAGGGAACTCTTTTTTTGATGCTCGCCGGTTATAATCGGTTCATGACCGGTGTCCGCTTAGTGCAATCTGTAATCGACCACCTCACCCCCCCCCGGCAATGGGTTACAGAGACCCGCCACAGACTTCCGGTGCGGAAAATCCGAGTAGCCTTCTATAGGCACCACAAAGGATTAACCTAATAATCGTATTCTCTCTAATAAATACTGTAAATAACGACTATGCTTTATAGATCACCGTGAACACATTTTTGATAGCGAAAGCAAGACTCGTGGCGGATGCCCGACCATGCTGGCTCATAGTATAGCCCTTGTGCCCACTGCTACTTAATCTGGTCAAGAGTGCCTCTCAAGCAAGCCGAGAAGTGTCTCCACCTCATCAGACTGTCTAGCGAGAACAGGCCATCTAACAGCCACCTCTTAGTAGCAACAATGACAGCTACTGTTGCACCTTCAGCTCTCCCAGTAATACAAAGTAATGCAAAAAAAAACCATGAATCTATGACAGCTGTACTACCCAAATCTGCTGCGATTGAGGAAGTACCTTGAAGTTTCCATTCAGCGTCTGGCCATTGATGTGTTGTTTCACTTCATGAAGAATGGCCAGCATGGCCACATTGGTCTTGCCAGCACCAGTGGGTGCACAGATGAGCAGATTCTCATTGGTGTTGTAGACAGTGTCAAACACAATCGACTGTATCCGGTTCAAGGTCTTCACACCACGGAAACCTGCTTGGCAGACCTGCAGAGAGGCAGAAGATGGTCCCCCACAGGCATCCCACAGGTGGCTAAGTAAACATTTCAACTGTACAAGTGCACCCCGGTTTTTCAAGAGCCCCAAGAATAGTGCCGTCGATCTACAATGAACCCTAGCGGCATAGTGGGGAGTGCAACGTCACTGCTTCTTGCTCAGATTGGGAAAAATTTCGCGAAAAACTAACCTGCTATTAGCTCTAACAACATGTGTCAACCATAGCGTGTCGAATTATTTTTGCGTACCTAGTGCTACATTTGTGTTTTTGTTTGTTTGATTTGTTACCAATTACATTTACTGTACTGTTTCGAAACCCATATCTGCCCACCTTATGTAATACCTTTGGGTCCTTAAGGTACAATAAATTAAAAATGAAATGAAAAGACCTCACTGCATGTGCACAGTCCCACAGTCAAGTAGTGCCAGTCCAGCTCTTATGGCTTAGCTTTAGAATGCTATGCCCTAAGCTCAATTTTCACATGCCTCTAAATGCTGAAATGTAAAGGGCTGTAAAATATTACAGCTTCACAGAATGGTATGTACAGTGGAGATCAAAATTTCGGAGACCACGGGAGCGCGTGGCGAACAGCACCGCGGCACCTTCTGATGGCTATGAGAGAAGCACGAGAGTGCGCACTGCGCAAGCGCGTCCTTTTCTACCTGCCAGCCTGCATTTTATCTCCCTTGAACAGCGCGCATACCGGAAAGCCAGAAAAATTGCAAGGGGTCCCTTTTGCAGGTACCGCGAAAGCATCGAGCAATGACATCGCAACAAAAATACTTGATTTGCAGTGGCAGTGATCAGTGCGTGCCGCTTTTGCTCCTTGGTTCCAGACGCTTCGCAGCGGCGAATACACGCAAATTGCGTCAGGTTTTTTTTTTTATCGACACATGTGATAAGATTACCGAGCAGTGCTGTCTCTTGGCAAAGCATGCATGCTTCCGCAGCCGCGGAACGTTCGGCGACTGCAAAAGTGAAACCTTGCGGTTTTCCTAGCGTTCCTGTGTGCGGGTAGTTCAAGGAAGCAAAAATGCAGGCTTGCAGGTAGAAAAGGATGCGCTTGCGGTGCTGTTCGCCACGAGCTCCTGTGGTCTCCAAATTTTGATCATCACTGTACAAAGCAAAGCAACATACGAACATAGGCCAGAGCACAACGCACTGCCTCCCAATTAATATCCTTTTTTTTTTTTACCACTTATTCAAACAAGTTCTGCTGCTGAGCCAGGGTCACTCAAGGAAGATCCACTTATCCTACTACTTGTGTCACAAGTTTATCTCGGGTGCGCTTGCATTGGATGGAATTGAGAGGGTCGGGAGACAGGCCTGGAAAAAACACACTTTATAATCAAAAAGATAAAAGGCCAAAATCAAAAGCGAAAAACGAAACCAACACTCGCAGACACAAAATTACCCCAATAGCAGCACAAGCAAAACAGTCTGCAAACCAGTCTGAATCCATTAATAACCCTGGCCACTGCTCCTAATCTACCTAATATGGCATCTCAACAATCGAACAATTTTGCATTTCCCGTCAGTTTCTCTCCATTCCCGTGTCGAGGTTTGTCAAGTGTTGACTTTCTCCTCAACCTCCTTGTGTCGCCGTCGGTTGGTCCCGCCGAACGATCCCCTTGTTCTCATCAATGGTGTCCCGAACTTCGTCTTCTTCGACCTCTCTACGCTAGGCTCTAGCTTTGTCATAGAATCCCTTGATGGCGTGTTCCCCCTGCTGACTGGTGTGGGCTGTTGCCGTCCTGCCACGAACTGGGAGAGCTGCAAGTCGATCAGGAACTGCTGTATAAGAGTTCGGCAAGTCCAGGCAGCCTTACTCGGAACCTCTGAGATTGACAGCCACTTTCCGGGTCTCTCACGCCAACATTTCTTAGAACCGGGTGGTAATGCTGCTTCCTTCGCCGTAGCGACTCTCATTTTCCACATCTTCGTAGCTCGAAGCCCCACAGCACAGTCCAAGCTCAATCTCTGGAATTTCTTCTTTTGGCGCGGGTCGCGTGCTCTCAGGCGACTCTTTTCTCCCCATGCACAGTCGCTGCACTTCTACTTTCCGCACTCGCCTCGTGCTTCTCGTTTACTCACGACAACTTTGCCTTTCTTATGATTTGCAAATATTAAATATTTACTGATCTTCACATTTGCTAAACATTAAGAAAAACTTTTTATCTCTCCACATCAATCTTTATTGTAAAAAAAAGAATACACAACTGTGAGGGTGCTTTTAGAAGATTTTTGCTTTAGAATAAAATGGTGCTCAAGAAATTGTCGTGACTGAGCATTCCTACTTACTGTACTCCTTTGTTGCTAGGAAAACAATACTTCCTTTTACATAATAAGACTTTATACCTTATCAACCCAGCCTGCCCAGTGTCGGTCTTCACATCTCGCCGTGCTTCTGCACTGCTTGCACAAAAAAAATCGATTAGCTGGCCCTGTTTCGCAACAAAGAGAATATTTTATGCTTAATGATTTCTCAGACACTGCAACATGATTGAGAAATTTTTAAGTCCAAAGTATCACCAGTACAATAGTCACCTATGATACTATGTGCCATATGATGAATGCGGTGACCATGCTGACACAGCTTAACAACAGTGACATTCACATTCCCTGCAAATCATGTAGAACCAGCACCTTAGATACTGCATTAAAGCTAGGGGGGAAGTGGTACACGACCATTCTGAGGCCAATTTATATACATAAATTTCACTGACAGCACAAGTGTCACAGTATATTCTTGGTAAACCAGTGACCAATTAATCAACTAATTGTGAATGTTGGTCCAGCTGGTGCTGCTTTGCATACATTTTACCAGCGTAATGGTGGTGCTACAATCAGTTTTTTTTTCTTTTTTATTTTATTTTGTTCTTTTAAGAAAATGGTACCACTCGACCTTTCTTGTGTCCAAAGATTAGCAGCCTAGTTGCACGCATCTTTCTTCATCCCTGTTCTGTTTTTGATGGTAAAATGTACACAATTGGCCTCACTGAAATGGGCAACTGCAGAAGGAACACTGACTAGGTACATGAGCATTATCATTGGCACGAATTTCAGTTCGGTGAGTGGGGACCAAATGGTGCCAGTGTGCACATGTTGATGCATGGGTCTTGAGAGAAATGCTTGAGCAAAGGGGACAGCTGAGTGTCAGAGAAATTTGGTGATCAAACAATGGATCAGAAGAAATAACACCTTTGCAGAACCCAAATAACTTGCACAATATATCGGCAATTAGAACAAGGGTTATGAGAACGCCACTTTTTTGTTTGGAAACCAGTTCATTTAAAGGCAGTGGTAGCCAGTTTGAATAGAAGTAAGATTTTAATTGCAGTACCCTGCGAACTACAAACGATAAAATATACTATCCTTTTAGTTTTTTGACTACATGGGCAAGCAAGCCAGTATAAGATCTCCTAAACTAAATAACAATAATGATAATTGAACTGCAGGTAAAAAGGAGTATACACTTGATGTCATTCACTTGAACCGTTAGCGTCGGGTCCACGCCCTCTCCGCACAAAACTCGCTGCACGTGCTGTGTCCAAGATCCGTACGGCAACTTGAATGTCTATAGACCTACAGAACACTTTCTGTATGCTGAAACACAGGCTGCAGCACGGTGCGTACAAACGAACCTTCAAAATGGCGTAGTGATGGTGTTGCCCTCTTGTGGACCAAGGCTCAGTACATATTTCCTATATGTACCCTTAAAAGGCCCTGCCACATTTTTGCAAGTAATCACCAAATGACTGCATTAAAATGGCTTATTGCCTTATGAATCAACTGCACAAAAATTTGTAGAACTGCAAAGCAGAGTAACAGGAATTAGTCGCATGCTTCAAGCCCCTTCTTTTCGTACGAGCATTGGCGGCTACCATTTGTACTCGCGGAATGAACACACTTTTTTCGTGAGAAGCCGGAGTAAAGTTGGGGGTGCATGTATCATGCGGAATGAGCGAAAATTGCGATAATGCAAAAAAAAAGTTAGGCCCCTGAGCCTTTCACAATTGACATATGCATACATTGTTTGAAAACAGCTGCTTTGTTGCACTTCACTCATCTTCGATAGCTGATGGCAGTATCTTCTTCAAGCTGTCCCTGCGCCACCCGTGCACTCCATAAAAGCGATTTGCAGATTTGTTTTCTCTCAATCATTTAACCGCAACAATGTTATCTGAAGAAGCGCCCAGAAGCATGCGCTACGATGCTACAATGCACTTGGCCAACTTCGTGGCAACCTCGCACGACGACCGCGACAACACTGTTAACACGGCAGCATGTAACCAACATTACAGCTAGCAACCACCGAACCATCAAAACAAACCGTCAAAAACAAGATTAACAACAAGAAACGACTGTCGCCTCAATGTCCACATGAGAAGTTACTTTAGAAAAAGTAGCCTATATCTTACGTTTCTTGAAGCATAGGTGGCAACAAGCACAAAAAGTAAATTGAAGCCAAAGCGAGAATCGGGGGTGCTACCACGTAGCGGAAATCCTCACAATCTTTTCTGGGTGACAAGCAATTTTTTCTGGTTTTCCAGAAACCTGCGACGCAATGACATCGAGTGGCCCTTTGCGACAGCAAATCTTGTAGTCAGTTGAAAATTGCGTGCATGTGGTTGGGCCCTAAAGTTTTGTACTTGGAGGAAGCGACCATCTGTTAGTGCGGGCAGTTTGATAACCTTCACTCGCTGTGTGCTTGTCAGCTGCGATGGCTCTATATTCACACCGTTGGTGAACCCCACTGAGGCACATAGATAACTAACAAAGACCGGGGACGTGCCGCACACAAAAAAATACAATACAGGGCGCGGCAGCAGGGCGGGAAAAGAGTGAGCCGAGGTGAGTAGGCATAATAACAAAAAACTAAAAAAGAGATCCAATAAGCAAGGAGGCGCCAGATGTCAGTTAGTGGAGCTGCAGCGGATGAATGTAGGAGGTGCGTTTATTACGTGGGAGAAAAAAAAAATGCAAAGTT